TGGCATTGAAGGAGGGGCTGATGTGCTGGGATAGGACCTAGGGCTTCCTGCAGCAGTTGGTGATGGTGAGTTAAGGGTTTAAGCAGAGAAGCAGCTCAGGACTTCTGGAGGCAGGGTGTGGATGGGTTAGAAGGGGTTAGAGATGAGCCATAGAAACCATCATCGTAACTGGAGTGATCCAGGCAAGGGACAGTGAGGTCTAAGCTAAGCAACAGAGGTGGAGTGGAAGAGCTGAGAAGTGAAGAGGTGGGAGGCGGTGACCAATGGGGCCATGTGTGGAGGAGAGGTGATCAGCAGGGAGAACCAAGATTCCCGGCTTGGCGAATGGTGCGCCATGCCTTTCTCCCAGACAGGAAGTACAGGAGGAACAGCTGTGAACTGAAGCAAATGAATTCCTTTTTGAATCCATTAAGTTTGAGGAATCAGGAGGACACTCAGGAGGGAAGTGTCTCATAAGGGGGTGGCTACCTGGTGCTCGGTAACAAAGTCTGGGCTGAGTGAGAGCCCAGAGTGCCTGGGGAACACAGGAAGAAAAAGAGGAAGATGAGGGGCTGAAACTGGGGCTCTGAGAGATAACGTTTGCATGGTGGGCAGAAAAGAGAACCAGCCAAAGCCAGTCTGACCTGGGCGGTGAGTGGGAACCGGGAGTGGGGGTAGGATTACCGAGTGTGTGAGGGGGGTGGTGGCTGGGGCACAGGACAGGCTTGACTAGGATGAAAGGACCAGAGGGCATCCGCAGTGGCCACTGTGCAAGCACTTAAGGCAGCCACCTGGTGAGGGGTGGAGGAGTGCATCGGGGCTGCTCCACCCTGTAGGGAGGCCGGCCACGTGACAGCCATAACTGGGAGCCCTAGAGGCAGAGGGGGCCTCTTGTTTGCTGACTTCTTTTTGTTGGATGGCAAGGTTGAGCAGCTTGATGTGCTGAGAGGAAAAGGCCCTACAGACCCTGGGAACCTTTGAAGCAGGGCCAGCTGCCTCCCAAGACCATTGATGATGAGATGAGTTAGTACATAGAGACAGCTTAGGAAATGTTCTCTGTCACCATACTTTGGGGGAAAACTTCTGAGCTGCAGGCAGAAGCATTCTCTTTTCTCCACAGTGCCTTTGAATTCTCTCCCTTCTTTCTCTCATTACCCTCGAAAAGGAATAAACACATGGCTTCTTCTCTCCAAGGCCGACAGTTTGCTGCCAAGGGTGGGAGCATCTGAACGGCCCCAGACTCTCAGACCATAGTGATGGGCCTGGGCTCATGGTTTCCTGACCTCCCTTGAACCTGTCTTCACATGCTCTCAGACCATGCATACTTATCACTCTTTTTCTGCCTGTGCTGGACCCCACTGTGTGTTGCTGGTATTTGCTCTATCTGAGAGCATATGGTATACATCCTGAGGTCCTGGGTGTCGGGACTTGGAAGCAATAAGCTGAGACTCCCTTCTTCCTACAGAAATAGAGATGCTTGACTCCAGAAGCAGACTCCATCTGTTTTAGTTTCCTGTGCCTCCTGTAACAAATTACCACAAACTTAATGGCTTAAACAAAGAAACTTATTCTCAAAAGTTCTGGAGACTAGAAGGCTGAAATGAGTCTTACAGGGCTAAAATCAAGCTGTCAGGAGACCGGTTGCTTCCTGAGGCTCCAAGGGATGGCCGAGTCCTTGCTTTTTCTAGCCTCAGGTGGCTGCCAGCGTCCCTTGGCTTGGGGCCACCTCCTCATCCTTCCTGTGCTTCCATCATCAGGTTGCCTCCTCTTCTGCAGTCAAATCTCCCTCTGCCTCCCTATTAACGAGGTTACTTATGACTGTGATTCGGATGCCCCTGAATAATACAGGCTAGTCTCCCCCTCCCCTGGCCACCCTCCATCACAGCATCCCTGATGTAATCACGTCAGCAAACTCTCTTTTGCCATATATAGTCCTGTTCACAGGTTCCAGGATTAGGAGTTGGATACCTTTGGAGGACAATACTCAACCTGCCATACCATTCTCCAAGCATGCTCATGATGTAGGGAGGGCACATATTTTGCTTGTTTTTCTGTGGAAGAAGTGAAAGCTCTGTGACTTTTCAGGTGTAACACAGACCTTGGGGGTCAGTAGCAGGACCAAGAGCAATGCCAGGCCTCTGGCTGCAAAGTGGGGGCACGTTCTCTAGCTTCACATTAAGGCCCTATCACTGCAGAGCCTTAGTGCTGAGACAGGACCCTGTAGGGGTTTGGAAGCTGCCTGGGGCAATGCAGTGCATTGAAGCTTAGACGAGTCCCAGCTTCCGAGAGCTCATCTGCCGTTTCCACGTCTGGGCAGGAAGGTGGCATAGCCATAGCGGCCCTGACAGAAACCCCTGGCCTCTCACGGCCGCTTGTGAGGCTCTGAGTCTTGGCTGGAGTCTGCCTCTGATGCAGGGGGTTGGGTCCTCACTGGGCTTTTCCAGGGGAAGGGGGCAAGTAAAAATGCCCGTCTCCGGGCATGGCACGCTAGGGCTCAGCTTAGTTCTAAGGAAGCACAGCTGCTCCGCTGGCAGCCAGGGTCCCACTCGGCGCCAGGGAATGAGATATTTTCCATCAACCCTCTGCTGCCCAGGCTCAGCGAGATTCTTCTGTTTTATTGTCTCGAGCAGATGAGCTCAGTTGTGGGGGAATGAGGCTTTGGCTGGTAGGCTGTGTTGTTTGTCTTACAGAGACCGAAACCTTCCCCTCTCTGTCAGATCAGGACCTAATAAACCCCACACAGAGATGCCTGGACCCTGCCAATTGCACCCAACTGTGGGGCCTGCCTGGGAAACAATGTTTATCCTGCTTTCAGACGCCTGGCTGCCCCAGGCTCGGGTCCAAGGGCACAGCGCCTGCCCCGTCCTGCCAGCTCAGACCACTAATGGGGGAGCAGGAGAGATGGAACAGATTGAAATAGTTTGGAAACAGGGGTGGCCTGGAGTTTAGAGAGCTCTGAATCTGAACCATGGGCTCTTGCTCTTTGGACCTATGTGAGTGTCAGGGGCAGATTCCTCTCATCGCTGTTGCCTGTCCGTGAGCCAGTGTTGATGGCAGGTGAGGGAAGGGGTATTCTGCTGGTCCCAGCTGCCAGGAGGAGGAAGAGTGTGAAGTCAAAGTGTTAGCTGCTCATTCATGTCCGACTCTGCGACCCCATGGACTGTAGCTCACCAGGTTTCTCTGTCCATGGAATTCTCCTGATAAGAATACTGGAGTGGGTAGCCATTCCCTTCTCCAGGGGATCTTCCTGACCCAGAGATCAAACCCCGGTCTTCTACATTGTATGCGGATTCTTACCATCTAAGCCGCCAGAGAGGAGGAGGAAGTTGTAAAAGCTGGATTAATCTGCTTCTCCCACTGCCCTCTCTTCACATCTCCTTCATAACCCATTAGTGCAGAGACAAAAAGAGCAAAGAGCAAAAGACATGCTCTCAGTAAGCGGTCACATGTTATTTTAGTATCATTCGGGGCCATGTTCAATATAATAATACTGCATAGTAAGCATGCAGGCAGGCTTTTGATTTGATTTACAACCCAGCATGGCTATGGGGCTTCCCAGGTGGCACAGTGGTAGAGAATCCACCTGCCAATGCAGGAGATGCAAGAGATGGGGTTCTGATCCCTTGGGCACAAAGGTCCCCTGGAGTAGGAAACAGCAACCCACTGCAGTATTCTTGCCTGGAAAATCCCACGGACAGAGGAGACTGGTGGGCTGCAGTCTGTGGGATCGTAAAGAGTGGAACACGACTGAGCAACTGTGCACATGTGCACGCCCACACACACACGCGCGCGCGTGGCCTCCCCCCCCCCCCCCCCGTGCACACATATACACACGTGATCCTAGCGGTCTTTGAGGACATCTCATGGGGTCACCCAGGAGGGCGTGGCAGAGTGCCTGTCCTATTAAAGCAGACCTGACCTTTGAAGGAGGCTCCTACAGCCCAGAACAAGCTCCTTATGTGGGAACTTGGTCCCAGGCCTCTCCAGTTCCCAGAATGGGGTCCTGGAACCCTGCTCACAGGGGCGTAGGCTTGAGGACAGCTCTCTAGGACCCAGCAGGTGGGCCTCAGGGACATGACATCCCCTGCACGGTCAGGGCTGGTCTCTGCTGCTGGTCTGGGCCAACCTCCTTGGGGCAGCCCAGTAGCTGGTGAAGCTCTATGTTCCTTGTCATGCAGAGTCCTCCCCTCTGGTCACCTTTCTCATGCTGCCATGTATTCATCCGAGTTTCAGAGCATCTGCTCAGTGCCTATGGCCTGTCAGACACTGTGTCTGAGGCCCAAGGACACAAAGGGGATAGCCACAGCCCCTACCCCCTGGGGTTTATGCTTGAGGTGGGGATGGGCATTGAATCAGGAGAGAGATGCACAGGCATTGTCAAAACAGAGGATGACGTGTCTTGTAAGAGAGGTACATTCACGATACTGTGGGAGCAGGATGGAATCCAATAGGGGGATAGAATGGCTTTTCAGAGGAGAAAGTGGTGTCAGAAAAGCACATGGGAGCTGAGATCCCTGAGGGATGAGCTCGTAGGACTGAGAAGAGGACGGCAGGAGCAAAGCGTGGTGGCATGAATGTGGACAGGATGGTGGCAGTAGACGGCTCCAGAAGAGTAGACTACAGGATGAAGAGGGGGCTTCCCAGGTGGCGCTAGTGGTAAAGAACCTGCCTGCCAATGCAGGAGACAGAAGAGATGCATGTTCGACCCCTGGGTCTGGAAAATCTGGTGTCAGAGCTGGCACCCCCTCCAGTATCCTTGCCTGAAGAATCCCATGGACAGAGGAGCCTGGTGGGCTACAGCCCGTGGGGTCCCAAAGAGTCGGACACAACTGAGTGACCGAGCACTGCTCGGATAGATGAGCGGAAGAGCTGGGGAGCAAACATCTGCTGTCAGGCTGGTCACACAGGCCTGTAGAAGCCTGTGGAGGAGGTCGGACTCCAGGAGGGGCAGCCAGCAAGGGTCTTAGGGGTGGGGCATTCTCCAATCATCCTAACCCCTCCATCCACCTCTCCTCCATCAGGAAGGTGCAAGGACACCCTCTCCACCATCACAGGGCCGACTACACAAAACACATATGGGCGGAATGAGGGGGCCTGGATGAAGGACCCCCTGGCCAAAGATGAGCGGATTTACGTAACCAATTATTACTATGGCAACACCCTGGTAGAGTTCCGGAACCTGGAGAACTTCAAACAAGGTACGTGCTACAGGTCCAACTCAAGGGAGGGTCTTCCTTCTCTACTGTCCTCTGTTTTAATCATGACCAGATCACCCATGGTGGAGACAGTGGAGAAGAAGGGCAGAAGCTTCTTCTGATGGTAAAAGGAACAATAGTATACAAAGGAACAAAAGGAACAATAGCAATAGGTTGTCCCTCTCCCATGCCTCCTTTCATCTTCCAGCCCCTGAGACATGGGACAACCTGAAGTCCGGTCCAGAAGACAGCAGTGATACATCTTCCCTTTCCCGTGGTCCTTGACTGTTTACAAACCATGTTCATGTATGTTAGCATCTGGATCCTTGAAGTAGCTCAGTGAGGGGAGTGGGAATTGTCATTTATAAATGACAGATGAGGGTGCCTCACAGAAGTAGGAAGTGGCAGAGCCAAGACACAAACCCAGGGCTCCAGACCCCAAGCCCGTGGCGCACCCCTCCCTTTGGGCTGCCCCCCTCCCTCCCCGCCTGGCGGGTGTCACTGCACCCTCGCCCTGAAGCCTCCTGCCTTCTCACCGCCCGCAGGTCGCTGGAGCAACTCCTACAAGCTCCCCTACAGCTGGATTGGCACAGGCCACGTGGTGTACAATGGCGCCTTCTACTACAACCGGGCCTTCACCCGCAACATCATCAAGTACGACCTGAAGCAGCGCTACGTGGCTGCCTGGGCCATGCTCCACGACGTAGCCTATGAGGAGGCCACGCCCTGGCGGTGGCAGGGCCACTCGGACGTGGACTTTGCTGTGGACGAGAATGGGCTGTGGCTCATCTACCCGGCCCTGGACGACGAGGGCTTCAGCCAGGAGGTCATCGTCCTGAGCAAGCTCAACGCCATGGACCTGAGCACGCAGAAGGAGACCACGTGGCGCACGGGGCTCCGGAGGAATTTCTACGGCAACTGCTTTGTCATCTGCGGGGTGCTGTACGCTGTGGACAGCTACAACCAGCGCAATGCCAACATCTCCTATGCCTTCGACACCCACACCAACACCCAGATCGTCCCCAGGCTGCTGTTTGAGAACGAGTACTCCTACACCACCCAGATAGACTACAACCCCAAGGACCGCCTGCTCTATGCCTGGGACAACGGCCACCAGGTCACCTACCACGTCATCTTCGCCTACTGACACCCCTGTCCCCACAAGCAGAAGTTCAGAGGGGCTGCTGGCACCTTGTGTGTGCATGTGTGAGTGTGTGTGCGTGTGTGTGCATGTGTTGTTTAAAAAATATATATTATTTTGTATAATATTGCAAATGTAAAATGACAGTTTGGGTCTATTTTTTCTATGTGGATTGTAGATCAATCCATTCATGTATGTGCTGGTCTCACCCTCCATGGTTTATATTTTTGTGCAAATCAACTTCTCCTTTCGACCAGTAACCACCTTCCTTCAAACCCTCGACCCCTCCAGCTTCCTGATCTCCATCTGAGAAGGTTTCGTCGTCAGGGTCTTGCAGGCAGATGGCACCAGGAGCAGGAGTGAAGGAGGCAAGAAAGAAGTGCTAAGGGGCGGGAAAATTGTTTTATGTATTGGAGAAGTTTTTGAAAAAAAAAAAAAAAAACAGAAAAAAATTGCTTTTTTTTTTTAAATAAAGAAGAAATTAAAAATCACCCCAAACGCGTTTTTGTGTAGCACGGCTATGTCTGACGGGATTATATGCCTCCCCCAGAAGGCGATGAGTGTTTCACAGAACCATCCTCATGCTGAGCTGCTTCCAGGCAGCTCCTCTCGCTCCTAATGTGGGGCTCCACTGGGGGGTTGGGGGGTGGGATTTGGAAACAGCTTACCCCCGTGGCACTTGCTTTGTGGCACTGATCCCTCCCCGGCTCTTCCGCTGTCACACCAGCCTCCTTGATCTGTTCAGCTTTTTTTCTAGTCATTACCCAAGATGTAGGAACCTGTTCATTCCTTAGTCTTCCTCCATGTAGTCTGGTGGTTGGCCCCATTGAAAATATAAAGCTGAGTGTGACCTTCACCCTGTACTTCTTAAGAGGCTTACAAACAATCAATTTCCCCCTTTCCCACAGTCCTCTCCTCCACCGATCCTGAACATTCACATTCAGTCAGCCTTCCTTCCCAGCTTCCCCACCAGAGGAGAGGCTTTCTTCTGAAACAAGGCCCCTGACGGAGCTGGGTAGACCTGCCATCCCTCCCCATGCACATGTGTAAGTGCCTGCTGCCCACAAGCACGCCCGTTCCTCCACGTGACACAAATCAGGAGACAGAAGCCTGGGCAGAGACAAGCCCAGTGACAGCCAGATGCTGGCCGAGGTGATCATGGAGCGGGCCAACTTCAGTGTCAGCGCGGCCTGGTCCTCCAGAGTCCTCTCTGCCATCGCTGCCAGCCCCAGCCACCCACCCCAGACCATGCCAGCAGCCGTTCCCAGACACCATCAGAGGGGTGGGAGCCACAGACCCTGGGAGCAGCACCGCAGGCAGTTACAGAGACGGGGTGCTCTTGCGTGTCCCCCTTTCCAAGGAGGCTTGTGGCCTGGCTGTGGCTCTGTTTGTCCTGGCCTTGGAGGGACATCTTTCTCCCGAGTTTGTGGGTGCTAGGCAGAATCCAAGAATGATGTGGGGAGACAGTCAGGTCACCACACTGTCCCCGCCCTACACCATCTCTACCTCCACCCCCATAGAGGGAGCAGCTCCTGCCTGCTGAGTCCTCGAGCACAGACACCTCCCCTCCTCGTCCCCCCCACCGGCCGGTCATCCCCTCTCTGCACAGTGGGTGGCTTCCACCCCCACCCCGCTAGCAGCTTCCTCCACTTAGACCATTCTAAATAACGAAAATTCAAATGACTTCACTTTGTCTTGGGGCTGTTTGGGTCAAATTCTCCGGAACAGATGCTAGTGCCTATCAGGCTTGGAGGCAGCAGCAGGGCTTACAAGCCGGGACATGGTATGTCCGGGGTTCAAAAACACTTTGATGGATGAAAATGGGGGTAGAGTTGCCCACGTCAAGGCCTTGCCCAGCTAGAGGAGAGAGAAGCTTTTCCTCCCTAGACTCTGGCCCTTCTGTCAGGCCCCGGTTGGAAACCATAGCAGAGTCAGCATGAGCCCCAGGTCGGGCTGCTCTGAGGGAATGGGGTAAGCCACCAGGAGAGTCATTGGTGGGGAGCTCACATCTTATGGAAATGTTTATCCCTCCACCTGGCTATCCAGCCAGCCATCCACTGCACCCCTGCCCACACACACACATCCATCTGTGTAAAGTGATACATTTACAGTCGCCAGGCTTCCCAGGTGGCCAGTGGTAAAGAAGCTGCCTGCCGACGCAGGAGATGTAGGAGACGCAGGTTTGATCCCTGGGTCAGGAAGACCCCCCTGGAGGAGGAAATGGCAACCCACTCCAGAATTCTTGCCTGGGAAATCCCATGGACAGAGAAACCTGGTGGGCTACCGTCCATGGGGCCGCAGGAATCAGACACGGCTGAGCGTGCACACATGCACACCAGACTCCCAGACGAGGGCTTGTCACCCCGGGTGCACGCAGCCCTCCGGGGACCGCACTGCTGGGCGGCCCAGAGCCCAGTGCTGCTTGCGGCCCCTCTCCTGTCTGTGCCTGAAGCACAGCCTTCGCGCTTTGCTGATCCAGATGATGCCAGGACCTCCGAATCTGCCCACTCCTCAGGTCTCTGCATCAGCCTCCTGAGGGTTGGCTTGCCCTGCCATGTCGAGAAAGGAAGGTCTCAGACTCCAACTTTCCAGGGCAGACTGGCCTTCAGGGATAAGCCTTAGGAACAAGCAACGGGGATCAGTAGGATGTGGTCAGGGATCAGGAAGGGCCCCTGCTGCTACGGAAAATAATAGTTCTGGGAGGCCTGGCTCAAAGGTGCAGGTGTAGGGGTTCTAGGACATGAGCCGTGTTCCCTGTAAAGCCAGAGCCTGGGCTGAGGAGCCTAAAGGCCGGAGCGGCAGAGCAAGGACCAGGCAGCTATATCGCCTATGCCAAAGGAGTAACCATCCAAGGCCTGGATCCACGGGCCCCGGATAGGGCTGGTCAGCAGGTAAGAAGCGCAGCGGCCCACCTCCTTGGTGACTGGGGTCAGGCTCCAGCATGGTGGCTCATGTGGCTCCTTACCCGAGCATCAGTTTTCCTGCCCTGGCTCCCCTGAGCTCCTCCCGGCCCCTCTGTCAGTCGTCAGGGAACTCCCCCTGCTGGGAGAAACAGCCCCTGGGGATGCCAGCTGCAGCCTGTCTGGGCCATCTACTTGCCCCACGGCTGAAATGCCCACTCAGGCCAGGAGAGGATCTGCTCCGCAGGCACCTCCCACACGCCGGAAGGAGGAAGCAGCGGAAGGGGTGACCTCAGGCCTGAAGCTGGCTGGTCCGAAACAGTTCCCCCGAGCACACCCAGGACTTCTCCAAGCAGCTTTTTCATCGCGGGACTGAGTTTCACAAACATGAAGAATTAGGGAAGGAGTTTTTCAGAAAGTTGAAGAGGTGGAGAAACAGCCAGGTAGGTACCGACCCTCCTGGCCTTCCCCTCACCTGTGAAAGGAAGGGGGATCTTCCAGCTCTCAGATTTGCCAAGCCTTCTCTGAGCTTTGGAACCCCTCACCTAACCTGGGGCATTTTTTAAACATTTGTTTATAATTGGAGGATAATTGCTTTACAACGTGGTGCTGGTTTCTCCCATTCAGCAGCATGAATCCGCCGCGGGTGTACATCTGTCCCCCCACTCCTGGACCTCCCTCGCACCCAGCCCGCCCCCGCCCCCCGCCCACCCCTCTAGGTCCTCACAGAGCACCAGGCTGAGCTCCCTGTGTCATAGGCAACTTTCCACTAGCGCTCTATTTTACACCTGGTAACATATGTTTCAATGCTACTCCTCTCTCCACCCTCTCTCCCTGCTACCCTCACTGTATCCACAAGTCTGTTCTGTCTGCATCTCTATTCCTGCCCTGCAAATAGGTTCATCAGTACCATTTTTCTAGATCCTATATATATGCATTAATATATGATATCTGTTTTTCTCTTTCTGACTTACTTCTCTCTGTATAATGGGCATTAAGTTTATCCACTTCAGTTCAACTGACTCACATTCATTCCTTTTTATGGCTGAGTAATACTCCATTGTGTGTATGTACCACAACTTCTTTATCCATTCATCTGTCAGTGGACATCTAGGTTGCTTCCATGCCGTGGCTATTGTAAATAGAGCTGCAATGAACATGTGGATACATGTGGGTTTTTTTGAATTATTAACCTGGAGCATTTTAATTGCTTGATACTGATGGGAAAACAGATTTACTTTTGCTTTCTTATTAAAGTATTTTCCAACAGTATCCTTTTCCAAAGTGGAGAAAAATATGACTAACAATCTATACATTGTTTTTGCAGATTTACTTTTGCTTTCTTATTAAAGTATTTTCCAACAGTATCCTTTTCAAAAGTGGAGAAAAATATGACTAACAATCTATACATTGTTTTTGCATTCATTTTGTATTCATCAAATACATTCAATTTCATGTATTCATTCAACAAATATTCACGGAGCCCCCACTTGGGAACCTGAGTGACCAAGTCAAAGTGCCTGAGCTCAGGAATCCTATATTCTGAAGTGGAGGAGAGAAAAGGAATGTATTTATGTGTGTTATGATGGGTGGCAATAAAAATAAAGCAGGGACAGAATATAGAGAAACACAGGTGGAAGAGAAGGAGTGGCTTCTTGTGTAGGCAGGTCAAAGAAAGTCTCTGTGATGTGGGGACATTTGGACAGAACCAGAAGACGGCAGGACTGAGCATGCAGACCTCTAGAGGCTGACAGCAGGGCACAGGACCATCTAAAGCCCTGCAGCTGCCCCTCTCAACAGCACCAGCCCACAGCAATGAATCTCCAGGCTCCCGGTGAGGCCGCCAGAGCGCCCACCAACCCAGCCCCTGGGCAATGAGCACATTTATTCTGTGGCCACATGATATGCTCCCACGCCTGAACACAACTGGGTTATGGCATGCGGCCCTTTTTCGTGCTATCACCAAGGCAGGGTCTCCCAGGTGTATAAGTGGTAAAGAACCCACCTTTCAATGCAGGAGACACGAGTTTGATCCCTGGGGTGGGAAGGTTCCCTGGAGAAGGAAATGGCAACCCTTTCCAGTATCTGGCCTGGGAAACCCCATGG